GTATCACCTTACGTTTTGTTTGACGTTTTGTTATTGAACCGCATGAAATGGGATCTCCTCCAGCCATGGTAAGCTGGCCAGGGTTCAATAAAGCAAGAATGTTTAGGGCACCTTTTCTAGCCCCTTCCTCTTACTATGGAGGTGAGCAGCGTGGTTCTAAAGAAGGCTGCTCAGCCACTCAGATAGATGCCGAATCCAGCTGTTGCTTTGGCCAGCAAGACGACGACCGTTAGACCTGAGCCACCTGTGTGCTACAGCTCCTAGTGTATCCACATCTGCTGCTTCACCACTCGTCCATCGCCACAGGACTTTGAAGGTTCATGAGAATTGGGAATGTCAAGATTTGCGCATAAGTTGGATTAAAGTGAGGGAGAGGTGCGCATAGTCAGCCTCACTCCCTCTTCCCAGATTCCATCTTGCTCAGTTGGAGATGAGCTGGGCGCAGTGGTTGACCAGTGTCTTTTGTGTCTTGCCGTACTCTTAAGTGTACCACATCGCTTACAGGGACCGTCTTCATGACCGTTGGCCTAATCGAGTAGGTTTCATCCGCTCAATCCGCCCTAATCTATCTTCATATGCTTGGGATAGACAAGTCCCTCTCTCACCAAAGGTCAATGACCCAACGGCTACTCTCAACCTGGTTTGTCGAAGCTGTTGCCCAGGGTGTGGCCGCTACGCATGCTACAACTATGAGGAGCCACAGGTGGGGACCAAAGGTGGACGACCTGCCCTAGAACAACCTGCCCTAAAAGGACATGACATACCTCTACACAGAGGTGCTACCCCTCCCTGAACACCCCATACACCCCTATATAATAAACCAAGTGTTATAAACTTCTCGTCAAAGCAAAATTGATGCCAACTCAGTTAAATAAAGTTTAATCTATAATTAGAAATCTAGCTCTCACATCCATCAAGATGTGAGCATCCAAAGAGGTATTGTTGGGGACGTATACTCAGGTCAGCAGTCATAACCTATGAAAGGGGTGAGGTGGCAGAAACACTTGATCCATTAATAGCATTCATGTACTTTTGGGTATTCATAGAACCTACTGAACTTTAATCACAAGGACAGGGTTCACACAATACACTATGCTAAAAAGTGGCTGGCAAATTTCTGCTTCAGTGAACTGCACAAATATAGCCGGCGTTTGATTGGACAAGACCGGTTCTGCTGCCACATTAGTTGCAGCATTATAAGTTTCCACTTCCTTCCTAAGAACTGCCTAAGACAGTGATTTCCAAACTTTTTCTTTCATTACCCGAAACCATTTATCAGAAAGTCTTTACGGACCAATCCTAAGCCCCTTCCTTCAGCACCACCACTGAAACTTCAGTAGTTGAATAAATGGTTGTAACTGGTACTACCTTTATTACAAAAACACATTTTTGAGTGATCTTTATGTCATTTCAAGAGATTACCATTGGTGAATTAGCAGTTAGATTAGCAGTTAGATTTATATACCGCTTCATAGGGCTTTCAGCCCTCTCTAAGCGGTTTACAGAGTCAGCATATTGCCCCCAACAACAATCTGGGTCCTCATTTCACCCACCT